GCGAGCGAGTGCCATTCTCCACATCATATCTACAACTCACTCTTGCGCATGCGCGCAATTCACGAGTTAAAAAGGAAAACGTTTTTATATTCAACAAAAACTTAAACGGGTCTTCTTGCTGCCGTCCATATATGCATTGTAACTTTAATACTTTGTCCGCTTAAAAAAAGTCCAATGCTCGCTTTCAAAAGTGTCTGTGTCAGCTTACGAGAGAGCGGCTGCTTGCGGGAATGTGCAAAATTTGACTGGCAGGCAAAAGGAGGGATTGGAAATAGTGGCTGTAAGCAGAACTGTCCGCTTACGAAAGAATCCGTAAGCGGGAAGTTGACTTTACCGACTCGTTTCCAGTTAATGGCGGTAGGAGTTATTATCGGTAGGTCTTCTCCTCGCTCCGGAAATTTACTGTTTACTTTTATTGTAGATTGTTATTACGCAATTACCTTCAAACTGAGTTTCTGTAAACAACTTTTGTTAAACTTCAATATCACCTGTTAAAATTGTACCAAGTAATTTTTACATTGCCCACGCTAGTTTAATTTGGCCTGGTAATCCACAAAAGATAGTGAAAATTTAGAAATTATATCTTAGCACCAGCGCAGTTTGCTTATAACCTACTGTACAAGGGATAACGTGAGCAGTAACCAGCAGAACAGTTGAGCTGTCAAGTTAAGCCAAACAAGTTGCACCACATTCCACGCTCTTCAACTGAGTTTAGAGTGAAAAACTTATACTTAACGAAATGAATTTCAGAGACTTAAAGTGAATTGCCTACCTTGCTTTCTCCCAAGCTTTGCGCTTTCCTTTTCCTCCCCGAACCCTCTCTCAGTTCTCGTGGATTTCCAGTGTCACTAAGACCGCTTTTCAGTAATTCTTCAAATCTAAAAGGAAAGGAAAATGATCGAACACGCTACAAAACGTTAATATGTACTCTTCCTGACAAAAGCAAATACACTTATTTTTTTTTATCCGGAATAGAGGGGTCTAAGAGAGCATGAGATCGAGATATCCAAAGCAAAATAGCTATAAAACACAACCAGTACAAGCCCACGCCCTTGAACACCGCCTAAATTTGAGGAAAACACAGGGTCAGGAGATCCAGGATTCACTATTTAACTCGATATCACCAGAAAATCACTGTACCAACAAACTGGCTTTTGTGAAGAAAAGTTTCCCTTCTCTTAAAATACCGTTTACCAGGATGCAAACTTACGAGCTGTATAAGAAAATTTTTAGGAACACCGAAGCGAGAAATCCGAAGGTCTGAGGTTCGGTTTCTCATGATGACTTAAATTTTCTCTATTCTTCGCTTGACGGAAGAAAAACAAATCTTTCTAGAATTCCACTTGACCAAGCCGCCTCCTATTAATTCTCAATTTGCTGCACAATTCTCTTTCTGTTATCAAAAATGGAAATGAAAGAAACGGTCTTACCGTCTAGACTGCATTTTAGCTTCGTCCACGGCAGACTTTAGCTGTTCGTTCATTATCCTTATTTCAGCCTGGGAAGATGAACACGGAGATTCTTTCACCATGGAAGACGCACGTGGTACTGAAGTGACAAGTGGTGGCGTTACCAACAATGGCGTGATCGTTGGAACCGATAAATAGGATGACGTGACCACCGGCGTAGACTGTACTGATGGCGTTGCGAGAGTACGAGACAAACCTAGGTATCAAAGAAAACGGCAAAGTGTATTAAAGAGACTGTTTCGCATAGCTTATGGAGTTTATTCCGGTTTGAAGGGCATCTAACCACTACTAGAACTACTTTTTTGGGACGTATCATTTGTCCATCTTAAGGCAAGTACCATCAATGTGTCCAGTTTTACGACAGTTCACTGGTATTCATTCATACTTCTGTATGGAATGAAGCACTCTGAGAGGAGAGTGTCTTGCCTAATAACACCAAACGAAGTCCCTTGCCAGGGTTCCAACCCAGATCTCTCCGTCCAGAGTCCATGGTTAACCAGAAAGGCATCGGGTCTCCCTGAGCGCAGGAGACTCGTATATCGTCAAATTCTCCCCGCTCATTGGGAGAAACAGAGGCCTCACGGAAAGCGCGTTGTACTCCGGAAAAAGAGTTGACCAGCAAAGTTTCAGGGGAAAATAAACGGACAGCCGAGAGATAACCTGATATCCTATACACTACTCCTGTTTACTTTTCGCTACTGAATCCACGAACATCGGCAGTAGCAAGGATCTATTAAGCATTTCGAACTTTACCTTTGCCATCGATCAAACAATACCAAATGGAGAAAAACCTTTTGAAAATCAAGACAGCAGGGTAACAAGGCTTAAGGCCACCCATTGATATTTTCTTCGAAAAACAAACGAAAAGAACCTTCCAGTTAAAAGAAGCAAGATCAAAGGAGTGTTAATCCAAAGAAATGTGCAATCCTCGCCTTCCAACCCCCTCCCCCAACAACCTTTTTCGAGCTGATAGCTAAGGCTTAGAGCCTCTTTGCTCTGAGAGGAGACGATTGCTAAAGCTATCTTCATATTGCCACTGTGAAATAACAAAAGTATAGCACGGAAGCAACTTATGAAACTATTACCTGTTATATCTTGAAACTGTTGTTCCATATCTAGAAATGACTCTTGTAACTTGGTGTCTTTGCTCTTCTTTGGTTTAGACGACTCTAGACTAAAAATTAACACAGGCTTTAGCTCAAATATCTGTATAACACTCTCAATTTTCCTTTACATTTATCCCCAGCAACAATATGACTGTGCGTAAAAGGCGAAGTTTGCGATCAAAAAGTAATTTGGAGTTTAAAATGTTACGATGAAGAAGACTAGAGAAACTTGGCTTGAAAAAAATAAACTTTTCTTTTTCTATGAATTTCGCGGGTAGCTTGATGTGTCAACTGTCTCTAACGGCACCAGATCTCTCTTCAAATAAAATGCAAATGCAGCGTTGACTTCGAAACAGAAACGTGAATAATTCGCAATCGGGGCTCAAGTTCTCAGACATCTTAGTCTTTGCAATAATTGCTGACCTAATGTTCTTGTTTTATAGCGAACGGCCAGGAAATATACGAAGTTATTGATCGGCTCATGAAACCGTTTGTTTCGCTTCGCTCTCACTACAATCGCCGTTTAAAAACTGTCGCCCTTTTGGTAGTAAACCTATTTTCTCGTGATCCCAGTGGAAGGGTATATAAACTAAGTTGGACGACTAAATGGCCGGAAAGTCTCCGGGAAAAAGATAAGCGCCTACTAAAATTACCTCTTTGCTTTCGCCGCTTCCTTCTTTGACAAATTTACCGACTGCATCCAAAGCGTTGGTGGATAAAATGCATCTAACTCCTCAGGTAAGAAATAAACGTCCTGCTCTTCTAAGCCTGGGTCCGAATGTAATGGGGTTAGACGAAAATTTACGCATGCCTCAAGCACGAGTGGCCAGGGAACCTGAGATGCAGATAGCCAGGGACTGGCCAGAGGTAAGTCGATACCGTTCAATGCTCGCTGAGTGCGAGCTAGAATCCACTTGACCCTAAAAGTAACATCAAAGAACTCAGAAACCTAGACAAAGGGATATGTGTTGGCTAAATCTTGGGTTTGATTCATAGCTCTTTTCAGGGACTGCTTCAAATGTCCATTTCTCGTAATCACCTCCCTGTCCTTTCCTCGCTTTTTAACTCGTGAATTGCGCGCATACGCCAGAGCGAGTTGTAGATATGATGTAGAGAATGGCACTCGCTCGCTCGCTCGATTGGTCCATTCCAGCGACTGGCAGGCATGCAAGGATTCACACTGAAATAACAGAACAACCTTCGTTTTTCATAAAATTGTAATTTACAATCCTTGAACTTGAAAACAATCCGAAGATTCGTTGAAAATATCACCCACTGCGAAGCGCTCGGAGTTAACAGATGTTCCAAAGCTTTTTCTGTTATGGCGTGAGATTGAGGAAAAAATCGATCATTACGTTTCGTATCGTATGTTTTTCCTGCGTGAAGCAACAAAAGATGCCGGCGACTGACGAAATTACAAGTTATCACGAAAATCAAATAACATCTAAACAAACAATCTTAGCTACCGATTTTCAGTGAATTTATAAAGAAAAATTTTCTTTTAAGTTTCAAGACAATTTGAAGATTCAAATAAATATTACGTACTAAAATGCGAAAGTTATACACCACAAAATTGATAAATAGGCCTGAAATGAAATTCTACCTTGTTCTTGATTATACGTTGCCTAGCACGTGACTAAAATCAACCCAGGCGGAGATCCAAAATGACGGTGGCAGTCTTGGCTTAGTTATATCACTCAAAACTCGTTCACGTTTGTCTCATTTGATAAAGAGGGAATCGCTAATGTTTTCACTAAGACATTATTGCCTTGGTTTTCTAATATTTACAATGATAGACAGTAAATTTCACTTTTCACCTACATTTACTGCCAACCTTTTCTTTTGAACCAGAAACAAAAATGATATACGTTTAAAACACATGACATCATCCACCCTTGTCAAATGTAATAGCATGATCATTTCAATTGTAATGCCTTCTTATCCCAACGTTACTTTGTTTCTTTGCTGCGAACACTGAACTACTGCTCGTACTCTAGATAAGACAATCAACCACAAAATTCCCTAAACCAGATAACATTAAACGTAATCCAAAAAATCATGTGTCAATTCACGAGTTTGCTCACATAGCACTTTGATTTTGTTTTTGTTTTTCTGTTTTTTCTTGATGTCATGTGAGTAACTTTTATTTCACGCATCACCCCATCGTTCTTTACATTGAGAAATTCCAGATTTCAGGGTGTTAAACTGATCCGCTTTGTAGCTCACATAGGCACAAGAAAACCCAGACCTTCAAGACTACGAGTAGTCCCACCTTTTCGGCAGCTCAATGCTAATGCACGCGCAGAACTCTGGAAATGAGGCGCACTCCCTGATCTCCGCGCGCTAGAATCAATTTTTTTGGTTCGCCAATTTCCTTTTTGTTCGTTTGTTTTTTTACCCGCATGATGGACCTCACAGTAAAAGGGGGACTGCTTCGTGTCTACAGACCTTGGCATTCTGTGCTACTGGAACCTATTTGGGGAAGGGGCGGGGTAGGTGGGAGGGCTACTGGGTTCACATCAGGGCCCCATGGGCTCTTGGTTCACATGACACGAGCGTCCTTTACGTTATTACGATCTCTATGGTTGAAAACGGCGTGTGAGAATATACAGCGAGAAAAATTTTCAACATCGAGTTCGGTCGACTGGGAACAAGACTCAAGGTTCCCTTGGTTTCTTTGATAAGGGTGAAAAAGGAAGCCAGCGGCTATCACACTTACCTGTTTAACAGGCTGGCGGTGTCTGGTGATAACCTTCGAGCGTATTCTAGACACAAATTACTTTCAGACTCCCATGTGCCTGGAAAATAAACAGACTATGAATAAAGGCGTGTGTATTGGAAAAGCTTTTTAAGGTAGCATGCCGGTGGACCTCTCCGTAAGGCTTTCTCGCTCGAAGAAGTCATTCACACCACAGTCTTCACGCGAAAATGGATGTCTTTACCTGAACAAAAGAAATAAATGTCCAAAGATAAGGAGAATGCTTCCTACCATCAACAGCCGCTGGTGGAGGTGGAGGCAGTTTTAATGAAGTAATAAGTGTATTCATCCTTTGTAAGTTCTCGTAACTGTTCCATGTAGCATCTGGTACATCTGTTGGGTAGTAAGCAAAACACTAAATAAATTTTTTCCTTTTCTTTTCTATACTTCTTTTTTTTT